AATATAATGCAAAAAGAGAAATATATGGTGAATATATTGAAGCTGTTCTTCTGGGTCTGTGAACTTTTGGACTACTATCACTGTATTTTCTTATAAACCCACATCGAAATGATGTCTGCTACATGTCTTTATTCAGGATTATGGAAGACTGTTTTTAAATTAAACCTTTTATATGACTCAGATTCTCAGCTTGAGTACACTGCTGTTGCTCAAAGAAACAAGGTGAATTTAAATAATTCATGGACCAGGCCATAATCCACATGGAAAAGATTCCTTTGTGGAAAGATTCCTTGGTAGAAAAGATAAATTGCCTACACTGCAACCTCAGTAACGTGTTTATGTTCAGACTCGGTAGATTTCTCACTCTGAAATGGGAAATAAATGAGCTTGTCCTGTAGCTCTTATTAGAGTAATTGTTTTCATGTTGTTTCTGGTCAGTGTTTAGGAAACAAAGGCCACACCTGTCCTAATTCTGTCAGCAAGGGAAATGTGAAAATAATAACTTCTGTACACAAATGAGACCTTTTCGTAATTATCTCCTCCTCCCTGTCTCATTCATCAGCGAGAGACTGAGCAGCATCGTAAACTTCATCCTCTTTGAAAGGCTTCTTGCCACCTTTCTGAAAGGGCTCTGTAATGTCTTGTCTTGTCTTGTCTTCTCTGTCTAGCCCAAATTCTGCAAAATGTTCCTCGCGTGTCTTGCTTGACCTTCCTGGCTAAGCTCCTGGCTTAGATGGTGACTCCCTCCAACTGAATCACTGGATTCCTGCGGTGGCTGGGGATCGCGGTGCTTCTAAAAGCACACACTTTCGGTAGAAAGCGACTTCAGGTTGTTAAACAACTGACGTGTCTGGGGGGGTCACGGAGGATGTGAACGTCTTCCTGAAGAAGAGGAATGACATCTTGATTCAGACCTTAGTATGCTGGAATGGCGAAATTGCTGGGACGCTGGCAGTGGTGTGCACCGTGCCGTGCAAAGCAAAATCATGTTGCGTTAAATCGATCTGTCCCAGGACAGTGTTAGGGTTGCCATCGTTAGGGGGAGTGATTCACCTCCCGGCTTGCTTTTGAATTCTGTATTATTCCCTTAATACTATTTATAACGGTTTTCAAACAAATGATGATTCTCTGGAAATGTGAATGCAATATTTGCTTTACAAGAAGCTAGCAAGGTCACCTATACCCTATTCTGTAGAAACCGCAAAACAGCCAGGAGAGAGGGACAGTGTAAGTAGGATGCACTATGGAAATGTTTCTATATTATATTTGAGGAGTTCAGAGAGATTTTTCAAGCTGCCCAGTAAAATATATGATGATATAACCCCAGCACAAATGCTGAACTAAAAATGGAGTTTCTTCAGAGGCTGAACTTGTCGTTGACTTTTCTGAACAGAATTTTAAAAACCTGTTGCAAGGAGGGAACTACGTGACAACATACCTTCTTGCGCTGTCTGGGTAAAAACTGTATGTATGAGCACCAGGGACACATTTCTTACCATGTTGATGCCGCGTACTGGGTATGTTGTGAAACGTACAGTTTCCCGAGACATCTGGAATTGGGCCATTACAGAGTAAGTAAAACAGATTTTTTATTTTTTTTTTTTTAAGCAATATTGCTCCTGGTTGAAGGCTTCTTTATAGATCTTGCCAATCATAAATCTCTATTTTTTAGGCCATTAAGTAGCTTAAAATAGAGTTGGAACTGATGAGCTCAATGCCTGGCACATGAGTATTTAACGTAAGAATATTAGGAGCATTTTATGTTGATTTCATGCCTTAGATTCCTTACCATCCATGTGCTGATTTCAAGGGACGGAGGGAATTGAAAAGGCTTAATTTCAACTAGCCCATGGAAAGTTTAGTCTGTCACAACTTACTGACACTTAAAGCCAGATAAATTAAAAAAAAAAAAAAAAAGACAACCCAACCACTTGTACTGCTGGGTTCGCTGGGGCAGTATGTTTCCCAAGCTCCCAGCTGAAGGATAAGCTGAACTTTGGATAAGCTGAGCCTAAGCTTATGTGGAAAATAAAACTTGGGAAACTGGCTAGCTTGCCACCTTTCAACGAATGCCTGTGGATTCCCAGCAGAGGTACAAGCCCTGTGTAAAAGCAGAGAGTGTTTTAGCGTGTCTGAGGTGTGGCTGGAGTGTAGGCATCTTAATCCAGAATGTGAACTCAGAACTATCGGGTCCTTGCTCCCCTTCAAGCCATGTTGCGTTGGGACGCTCAGAGGTTCTGGGAACAGTTGTACTCCTAGGGAAGAAAGCCAGGTGATATATCAATTTGGAACAGCTTATTTTTGTGTAAGAACTTCCTCTGTTTGTATTAGGGGAATGTGTTTATTCTAGGATCGCATAAAAGTCCTAATAATGGGGCAAGGGAGGGTCATTTTCTGTTTTGAGTTCTATGACTTCTCAGAGGGGGCTTTCTGTGCAGAATGAGTTTACCTATGAAGCAATTAATGTGTCATACATATACAATAATGTGTCATACATATACAGATCGATACATATCGATCTAAGGTTACAGATAACCATGGACTGGCCTTCCCCAACTATCGTTTTGTCGCCTGACCTAGGACAGCCTATGCACTTCCTACTCACAGCCGCTGTCCGTTGTTGTGTGCTCCTCTACCTGGTGATACGGTTCAAACGGGTTTATTTGCAAGAACTAACAGTCTCACGGTTCTGTTGAAGCCTCTGGGCTGACCTAAAGCCCGCTGAAGCACTGGATCAAGTTGTCGGTTAGAAAAGCTGCTGCAAGCTGCTTACCATACCTCTGGATGAGCCATGAATGGCAGAAAAATGAATTCTAGACAAATTGTTAGAAGCTTCTATGGAAGTTTTCACGTCAGTTTGGTTCTCAGCTGCCTCCCCGAATGGCCTGGAGACTGAGCCTGAATGGCCGGGCGAGCCTTTTTACAGGAAGATCTCCTTTTCTTTGGTGCTTGTTCCCAAGATGAAGGTAAGCAGTGCCATTGTTCCTGGGCTGTGGGAAGGCTGATAAAGAAATGCTTCCATGCTACAGAAGTCAATGCTATAAAAGTCAATGCTATAAAAGTAATTTCAGTAATTTCACCCTGTGAAGTGGAAAAAGGGCTTTCCACAATCACTAGCTAACAGCTCCTCTATACAAAAAACATAGTTAGGAAAAAACAGGGAAGCCATAATCAGCAAGTCTGATCCCAAATCCTTTTCTAGAGCTTGCTTCCACAGTGTTCTTACAGTTCTTGGTCTGGGATCTGATTTTGAACTGATAAGAACAGCAATTACAAGGCTAAAGCTGAAATTCAGACTTGAATCAGCCTTTATGCCAAATCCTACCCTGACCCTTTAAGAATTCTGAGTTTGAACGTATGCTCTTGATCTCAGAGCCAGACCTGGATGGTGACATTCACGCCCTAAAATGTCCTAGCTAGCTTAGTTGGCTCTCCATGCTACCAGCTAGTGGGTTTGTATTTCAGGAGGTGCTCCGAGAGGAAAGATTCCTTGAGCACTGCAGTGACTCTGGATGTGACTGGAAAAAACACATAAAGCATTTTAATGGTCAACAAATAGGTATGATTTTATTGAGCAGTAGAATACACAAGAAAAAAATTGTTCTTTTTGAGTTACTGAAATATTTTTTTTTTAAGAATGAAATAACCAGGAGCTGCCCTATAAGGAATGTGATCTTGATGTTTTAACAACTCCTAGAAAACATTTGAAACGTTAGGGCTCTCTTAGGAAGGCTTTCTTGGGAAAGCATCTACTGGAAGAGGCCATGGCTAGGACATGGCAGCTTGTTACAGAAAGAAAAGGATGTCTTTGCCCTAATGAAGACCTAAAATCCAGCCAGCGTGATCAGCCCCTGTAGCCAGGAGCGATGGTACCTGGACATATGTCCTGATGAGGCTCTGCTGGTGCTCTGAGCCTCCCAAGCCCTATTTCAGCAAGCAGTTGGGATCTTAGACTCCTCAAATCCACGCTTAAAGGAAAAATCTCAATGCAAATCCCCTAATTTCCATTGTGCCTCTGCCTGGAAACACGGGGCTAGATTTCATGTTAGTTCACAAAGCTGGCACAGACCCACGGCCTTCAGTGGAGTTAATTTTTGTTGCTGAAGGTCTAGGCTACAGCTTTAACCTACTTTAGCCAGAGTGCAGGAGAAGCACGTGCTTTGCAGGGGACTGAAATGCAGTATTGAAGGGCACTGTGTGTGTTACCCCTGTACTGTCCCTGCTCTCAGAACTGGGGGAGGGTGAGCTCAATGCAAGATCCAGCTCACGACTAGATGCCTAGTGATGTTGCCAGCCTCTGCCATCGCCTTCCAGCCTGTGCTCTGCCCTTTCTGGCCTCGTGTCTCCAGCACAAGCTGTTGTCCGGGCAGATACTAGCGGTGAATGGGAGAACATGGGGCACCTGATTTTCAGTTGCTTTTTCTTCTCTCTCCACCCCCTTGGTATTTTTTCTCCCACTCTGTCATGCATCCCTCCCCAGCCGGTTCCCTTCCCACATTTCTCCCATCTCTGTACTTCTCCTCCCAAAACACATGCCCATCTCTCTCCTGCGCGGAGGCTTCTCTTGCCTTCACTGCACTTGCTTCAGTTAATGCCTTTCTCTGCCAACTGTCTTTGACCGTCCTGGTCCTCCAGCTTCTACTCCAGTCCCTGCTAACAAGTGACTGAAGAGAAGCAAAGCCAGTCCTTTCCTGCCTATTGTTTTATTATCTGCCCTGAAACGAACTCTCTGTTTCCAACTTGTGGCCTCTCTCCGTTGCCAAGGGCTCATGTAGCCAATGATGTGGTTTAGCTGGGTTAAATAAACCCTGGCAGGCTCCCAGCATGTTTTACAGATTTTTTTTTTGTGTGTGTTTGTGTCTCATTACAGTGCAACTGAATGACCTTTATCAAGAGAGAAAGTGTACAAGGTTTCACCTCATTATTTTCAGAGGAACTAGTTAGTTACGGTCCTCAGAAAGCCGGGCAAACCTGTACTTCAATTTCTGTGTTGGAACTATTTTGACGGCTAATTGTAACCTGCAAAGGGACGCTCATCTGTGATTGATTGCTGCATTTTGCCCACGTTGGAGACAAAGCCAAGCAAGGTCATGTGAACTCTATATCCACGTAAGTTTGCAGTTTTACTGAAACTGCTGGAACATCTCCTGTAAACCTAATTTCACTTTGGCGCTACTTAAAATTCTAACAAAGCAGACTGCTCCAGACTTCCAGGGCTCTTTGTCAGGGATCTGTTTGACCTGCTCCAGTTAAAGGATGGAGAACTTAAACATCAAGGCACGTGCGAAACAGCTTGAATTCCAAGATAGAGGGCTGGGATTTTTTGGAGGGAGGGGAAGAAACTAACTGAGCCGGAGAGGCTTTGCCTGAAAAAGTAACCAGCATCTTACATTTTCACCAGACAAACTATTTGCACATCTAAGCACAACGAAAAAGAAAAACACACTGCTAATTACAAAGGGTTGGTGACCTATTCTTTGCAGAACAGACCTTTTTATCTTGCAATAGCAAGGACAATGCATGACACTTGGAAATCACTTCTGACTACAACATTACACGGTTTTTATTTCTGGATTTGGGCAACTGAACATTTTTCATAAAAAGGGAATTTTTCGAGAGTCTGAAAGAAGCAATTAGCTGGGGAAAAGTTAATATCAAGATCTCTCCTGTCCGCCCTTTCTTCCCTTTCGTATCTTCTGCTAAGGTCTTGGGAAAAAAATTGCCCATTTGCCTAAGAGCTGGTCTTTCCTTCCGCAGATCGTTGCAGCACGGTTGCTGTCCTCGAACGTTTCAAGTTCTTTCAGCCATCATCAGTAGTAGCTGCTGTCTCCTGTTAGGCCAGGCTGTTGTGTTGGCAGTACTTTGGGTTTTTAGCAGAAAAACAGGCCTTGCAGTAGACTGGTCAGTGCCAAGCAGTCAAGGCAAGCTGCTAAAGCAGGACTATTTACTTAGGCTGAGCTACCAGTTTTCTGCATTTTCTCTAGGTGTTAAAAAGCAAACAGTTTCCCAAGGAGAAGCGTAAGAGAGGGAAGAGGGGACAGCGCTAAGGAGGAGGAGGAGGAGGCATGTGTATTGAGAAAATATTTGCTCTGGAAATAAGAACTGGAAGGGTAAAAAAATATGAACTGTCAGAAAAATAAGCTGAATATTTAAAAGATTGCAATGCTGATGCTACCGTGTGCTTGTGGTCATCCTTGCTGGAGCAGAGAGAGTGAGATACATTCAAGGAGTCAGAAAGAGATGCACATATGAAGGCAGTCGTAACAATGTTAGCCACAATTCCAGGCTAGCTCGTTACTACCTGTCTGGGAGATTACAGCATCCAGAAGGACGTTATTGTTTGTGCTATTAGAAATCAACTATGAAATTTGCTCAGTCTGTTCGAGTTTCAGACACCCCGGAGACAGTAGCTTTTCATCCTAACCATTCACAGTGATATTCAGGTATTGCCAGCTTAGGGGTGGGCAAGAACACCAGAACAGGCCCTTTACAAACCTTAAGTATTACTAGCTAGCTTAAGTTGCAGTCCTGCCTATGAATTTCCCGCCTGTAAGCAAAGAAACATTCTCATCTTATTCTCCAAAGTGGGCGGGGGGTGGTGGTGGAATACATTTCTTTTTTGAAGTGGCTGGCCACAGTCCTGGAGTTGTCTCCGTGCACAAAGAACCTTGCTGATTTTGTGGGACTCTACGGGGATTTCATAGAGAGGATCCAGTTTCAGGGCTGAGCAAAGTAACGAGGCGTGCAAAGTCATTGCCCAATAACTAGAGTATAACTAGTATTGGGTGTTTTGAGCGAGCAACGAGATAGCTGTTGGAACTGGAGACTGCTTTTGGAACCATGGCCCTTTATCATAAACTAAAGGGTATGTCTCTTCGGTTGTATTACAATCAAATCTAAAGCCCTTGATTTATTTGGGATCAGGTTGCCTGTTACAGAAGTACCGTGAAGCTGTTCAGCCATATCTCCTGATAAGCCATTAATGGATTTTGGTAATTAGGTGTCGGGCAGAAAAGAGAGTTTTAGACAACTTGTAAGAGGGTTCTCTAGAAAGTTTCATATCACCAGCATGTCCTGGTCAATTCTGTTTTCAGCCGCCTCCCCGAAGGGCCGGGGGGGGCCAAGTCAAATGGTTGGGCAGCTCCTCCGTTTGCAGGGAGAACTCATTTTCTTCGCTGATTGTTCCCAGGAGAAGGGTAGACAGTGCCATTGCTCCTGGCCTCTGACAAGCAGAAACAGGCTTGGTTTCTGCCAGGTGTGTGCAGACGGGCAGAACCGTGTGTTTTTGCAGCACGCTGCCTAACTGCTCTGCTGAAGAGACCATTTGTGGTTACACTGGAGCACTCACGAGCAATTAGTAAGTTTTGCTTATGTAACTTATTTTGGACTTTTGTGTAATTTACTGACAACCATAACGCTATGGCAGACCTGTTGCTCATTAAAGAGAAAATAGACCCTCTCCTAAAGGAGACGTTTTGCTGTTTAAGCCCGAAGGTCTTCCACGGACCCCTGGAAATAGGGGCTGGTCATAAAAATACAGCTATATTAACCCTGCTGAGAGGTGGTTAGACATTAGTTGTACAGAGTCAGTATCACACCTTTTACTAAAGTGATGCTCTGATTAGAGAAAGGAAGGAGGGAGAGGAAGGAGGGAGCCCAAGGCAGCGGGGCTCCGGGCAGGGCTGGAAGCCCCGTCACGGTACGGCAGCTGCGGGTCCCCGTGGGGTGCGATTCCTGCAGGCAGAGCTGACGGGCATCGCAGCCCACCTGAGCTCCCTGTTGCAATGGGCATCACGGACCGCGTTATTTTTTTCCTTGGTAGCAAAATGAAACTCTGTGCCGAGCCCCTCTTTTACACAAACATGGGAAAGAGGAAAGAGGCATAAGATGACTGGGGTGTCCTTCGATTGTAAATACTCATGGAAGCCTAACAAGTCTTATGCGTCTGTGAATCAGGGGCTTGTGTGGTTTAGGTAGAACTAGAATGAATCTTGTGAAGAAAAGGTCAAGGTCGGATATTAATGCCCCTTTTTTAAACACTCCTTCTCTCCCTCCTCTCCCAACCCTCCGTTTTGTGCAATACTGGCATCGCTTTTCATCCTCTGAAGCACATTTTAAATCTGTCTGGATTAAATAGGTTGCCTGAGCCCGTACCAGTAGCAGTTCACAAGACAGGAAAATCCCCTCCAACTGTGCACATAGATATGGACCGAAATCTGAGAGTAAGAGACACACGTGTGATTTCCCCCCCGCGCACCCCCCCCATCCCTCCCTGTCACTCACACCTCCCCGTTAAGATTCATGTTCACTTATGGAGGTAAGCATCCAGCCATAGATCTCCAGATTTCTTTAGGGACCTGTGGAAAGAAAAGGAAGATAAGTTTGTCTGGCATGTGAATCTTCCCTCTGTCATTTTTCTTCCTACAAAGCAGCATGTTACTGAATTTGAATATGAATTCTTAGGACACTGAATGTCTTTCCCCAGTATAGCAGATACAGCAAGAAGAGCTACCTATTTTGTTCTTTAGAGCCCCAAAGTGACCAGTTTGAGACTGAGCGAGCAAGAACTTCACCTGATGCCCACTGTGTTATCTGTAGTCCCTCTGGCCCTGAATAAACAGCAGAGCAGAAGTGCCTGGGCTCACCACGTTGCATCTCTGAAGGAGTTTCCCCACTTGCCCCCAGGAATTCTCCTGCAGAATTTCCCATTTGCATCAGCTCCGCAAATATTATGTGACAGATCTGAGCTGGTTTGGGCCCAAAAGTCCTCTGACAAACAAACAGAATGCAGTCTGGAGGCTGGGAATGTAGCTTTATATGGTTTACGGGAGATGATCCTTATATTGGGAGGGCAAGTAATTGCTGAGATGGTTTCTGAGAACTTGCGCAGGGACGTGGGCTCTGTATGGTGGGATCCTGGGCATCACCCCCAGCCCTGGGTCTCAGTGTTGCGTGCATTTTCCTGTGCTAATTGGATAAGAGGACCAAAGGAGGTTTTGAAACAGTTTGCAGCATTTCTGCATGATAGGACCAATCTGCTTTAATTTGCATTTGCTTAGAATCGTTTGAGAGTGGAGATCCCTGGCCTGCAGAATACTTTCTCATGTTCCCTGTCATGAATTATTCCCCTTGGAGTAACTGAGACAGAAACGTTAACCCAGAGTCTGCCTGACAAAGACTATTAGACTAGGCTTCAACTGTGTCTATAGGGAACAGCCCTTTGCTGCTGGCAGGGCTCAAATGGGAAACAGCATGGGCTGTAACCTGACTCATTCCCCTTTGATTCATCTCACTTTGCAGCCTGACAATATGCTGCCAGCTCCCGAAAGCAAGAATCATCAGCTGTCAGAATAGCATTTAAAAAGGTATTATAAAAAAGGTCCCTATTAGATCAGGTTACCCATCTAAACGCTAAGTATTTGATACTTTGATAGCAGCGCTCTGGTTGCAGAAGCTGCTCTGGGGGACAGTTATTGCTTCCCCCACGACGTAGTGAAGCAGCTTCCCATCTGTTGTCACCTGGCGTTAGTCCACTAAATCAGCGGAGCTGTGTCATTTCTGCTGCGGATCAACATTTCTGCAGGTGTTCCTTGGACTGCAATATGAAGATTATCGACCAAGTGACACCAGATTACAAAATATCGACGTGGTCTTTCTGAAGGATCTATAGTGTCCTGAATTCTCTGTACTGGAGAAGATAGGATGATCATGTAACAATGAATTGCAGGCTGCAGATGGTATTAAAAGGGCCTTACCCAACAATGTCTACGAATGCTTTTCCAAGAGGCTTCTCTTCGTATTGGACTCCATACTTGGCACATAATGACTTCACCAAAGGCTTCACCTTCCAGAAATTGTGCCGTGGCATTGTTGGAAACAGGCTTGAACAGAGAAAGAGAAAACAAACCTGAGAAAACTCCAGAGACTAACCCCAAGGGATGGGCATCTCTGTCTACCTCCTCTTTGGGGCTAATTATTAATGCCTTCTCCTCAAGCTGTACAAGCAGACAAAAGAAAGAGAGGCACAGAGAGGTATCCATGCTTTACAGCCCTCTGTTTCAAGGAGGCTTGTGAAAACTGAATGCATTGATTTCCCGCATCTGGAAGCTCATGGACCAGAGAAGCAGGTAAAGAAGAACTCGGGATCACCTTGCCCTCTGCTGTTTGATGGCAGTTTCCCAAGCTGACTTCCAAACCAGTCAGCCTTACCCTAAATGCCGTCTCTTTTACAATTTGTGTTGCCACTGGCAACAGATTGTCCATATGGCCCTGTTTTTAATGTCTTCCCTGGAACCTGGTACCCAGCAGCATCCACAGTCCCACACAGTTGCCCCATGCCATGAAACGCTGCAGTGCTTTTAGTCAGGGAGAGGAAATTTCTGAAATGGATACTCAAGTTCAAGTGCTTAGCTTAGGATACGAGTCCATAGCCATTGTACCTGGTAGATTCATACCACTGACTCCTAATTAAACCCCAAATTAATATTGTGAAAGTGAAAGCTGAAGTATTTGGTAGCAAGAGAGAAAGATGCCATGCCTGTAGTAGAAGCAGCCTATGACCCCCAGTAGTCTGGGACTCTCTTTCCTTGGCATATGGTAGTGCTCCGAAGATCCTGCCCCATCCCACACGTGCGCCTTTAGCAGACTTTCCCTCGCCTCAAGTCCAGTGTTGTGACAACCCGGTAACGGCCAAATGATTCTGTGCCCATACTCACTGGTGCTCGATTTGAAAATTCAGGTGCCCAGTGAACCAGTCGTTGAAAAAGGACTGCTCGATATTGCAAGTGGCTGCCACCTGTGAAGGCAGGAAAGCAGCTGTGAAGATTAGTGAAGTCTCACCCTAAAATCAGAATGAAGCTCCTCGTGCCTGTGGCAGGGGCTGACATGTGTCTTGCTGCACGACTGAGCTGTCAGAGTGCAGAAGACTGCCGTGCTGAGATAGCTGGTTGCGGCAAGGGGAGCTTTAATCCTCCTGCAGGGCTTACTGACAGCCGTTGTGCTGACCGTGTCTCCACGGGTTTGACCGGTGGTAAAGGGGACAATATAAGGAGGCAGTTTGTGGACACTTGGTGACGAGTCATATAGCAGTCCAAATACAGACTCCTAAATCTCAGCCTTTCCCGTTGAAGACCGGACAGTTAACAACAGGACCAAGTGGAAAAGGGGGGAGGAAAAATGCATGAACACAGGAAGCCTGCTTTCCCTGTCCCATCTAGTTATTGCCCAGATTGCCTTAAGTGCAAGATCTGAATATTCTGGAAGTATTTCTTAGCTACCGTTGCTATTAATGATGGTAAAATTAGGTAGTCTTTCTTAAAAAAATCCTCTTACACTCTGAACTGGCTAAGCTGTGGCTTCTACATAGTAACCATAGGAGATACACTCTCCTCACCTCCCCAAGATGCATCATAAAACCACATCAGTGTCAAAGGGGCTTATCTCCCTCTGTTGTACACACATTTTCTCTCCCCCCCCGCCCTCATAATCCCCCTCCCCAAATCTTTCACTCTCACAACCTCTCTCTCTCTGTGTCTACAAATTCCAGTTGCATCAAGTGCTTAAGCAAAAGCTTAAGGTGAACATCTGAATACACCTTCGACTTCAGTGAATCTAGTCACATGCTTAATTTAAACCAAACGCTGAGGTGCTTTCCGGAATAGTGCTTTTAGCACTTTTTTTTTTTAGTGGTTTAGTGGTTTTAGCACAAGGGAGAGAAATTGACTGTCAGCCTTTGAAAGCTCACTTCAAGGCCCCATTAACAACTACTGATGCTAATTATACTAATTAACACATGAGATGATTTCTTCTCTCAACTCAGTTATTCCAAATTCATACAGCCAGTGTCAAAGTTGCTCTCATTGTCCTCTAGGTTTGAATAGGACTTGGACCGCTGTAAATAAGAGGTATCCTTTCAGCAGGGTGGATTTGTCTGACCAGGCATTAAAAAGATTTAGAAAGCAGCTGGTTTTCATTTCAGTCCTTATTGCTGAAATATAAACTTCAGAAATATATTGAGCTCTCTCTTCAGCTTTGATTTTCTTTGGGGCTCTTCTGTTTGCTCATATGTATGTGCCAAAATACACCACACAGGAAAGCCAAATCATGCTTCTTGAACCCGATACTGCCTCAAATCTGAAAGAACAAAATATAAACTTTTGATTGTCAAATTCATTACAGAAGTTTGGACTTCCATGTCTTGGCTCAGCACTACTGGCTCTGGGGAGAACATCTTTATGGGAGGGATCATGGACAGAGACCGTGTACTAGTACCTGGGGATTGTGGTAACCCATCTGCTCTGTGAGTAAATTTCTAATCTGTTTTGGGGTGTCTCAGGAGTATTCTTTCCCCTCCCAGTTACCTGAGAGCTAAGCCAGTCTCTGTGCTTCTCACAATCAATTTCCATTGGAATGTGATTCATCTGGGTGACCCACACAAACCAGTGACTCTCCAGAAACCTTCAAAAACAAACAGGCAAAAAATACGACAATTTATACTGCGGACCAGGATATGAGGTCAATAGAGTGGGGTTTACCGGGAGCAGCAGGAGATGCAATGTGCAAAGAGAGTATTTCTCCCAGGTATGGAAGTAAACACCTCTCTTTCTATGGAAACCAGAGAGAATCACTTCTGTGATGAATTTCCCTCCCCCTCTTTATACCTCTGGGACTAAGGCAATTATGATTAAATACAAGAAGGACATCCTACTGGGCTATCCCTCTCCCTCTTCCTCAGAAGTGGATTGATCTCCCGTGCTACTTTTGCCTGTCGGTAAATAAAGATGATCCAACTCCCTGAAAAAAAACCAAGCCCCTATTTAGAAATTCTCAGAACTGTTTTCATCTTTCCCATTGCTTGCTGGATATACAGTAATTTCAAAATCCACCTGCCCGTTGGTGTTAGCTTTCTGGGTGTCAAGCTTAGCACACTGGAGCTCCCAGCTTCCCTTTGCTCTCTCAGTACCTTCACCGTAAGTCTCAACTCTGCACTGGGCTGGGTATTGCTTTAGAGCGGCTTGTTTATCGCTTATAGTATATAACTGCATTTTTAGCACCTGTACAATAGTCTACAGAAATGCACTTTCTTCTCTTTATTTACCCAAAGTAGTTTATGCTGAGACTTAGATGTATGTTGACAAGGCAGTTGTCCAGAAGCATCCTTGTTCTAGTCTTTAGGCTTGTTTTCTGAAAGAGCAGATGATCTGAATTTGCAATTTTGCCTTTTTCTTGCACTTTTAGCTTAATCAAAATACGAAAGTTTTGGAAAGAATAGGTCAGTTGTCATAAGTTTTTCAGCTTGATTTCAGACCAAAAAGGTTGGCTAGGCACTTACACAAATGGACGTCTTTTGAATCTCCTGTTTTCCTTAAGTCCAAAGTGTTTTGAAACTATGACAACTTAAGTCACAAAAGTTTTTGTACATCTGTTGCCATTTCTTTTTACTCAAAAAAATGAGGGTTTTTTTAGAAAATGTTTTTCACTGTGATGAAATGTTTTCCTAAAACTAATGCTGACTGTGGGACTAAATGCCACCCTTTGGTATTAGCCAGAAGAGTTGCAGCTATTGCATACAGAATAGAAATTCACGAATATCTATCATGAATAGAAATTCCTGATAGAAAGCGTGAATTCAGTGCTGCCACCTGGAATACTGTAACCATTCAGTGTGTAAGCATCCCAAGCCCTGCCATGCCCGATTCATTTTGGCAGCTCGTGCTTGTAGTTCATGTTTTTAGGTCTCTCACTGAACTCTCCATGCATCAGTCAAACAGCAGCTGGCTGATTAATACTGTTTCTGTACTAAGAGCAGCAAATCATGAAGCCTGGTAATGATACGGGGCCAGAAGACCAGTCAAAATCAAGAGGCACAAGAAGCACTTCTCCCTAGACTGAAGGAGGTGGCTTTGGAGGGGTCAGACTGGAGGGTAGGAACACCTTGATTTGTGGTGTGAGACAGCTTTCTGAGGTCCAAACCTCTGTGTAGAAGGAATGACGTGTGCATGTAGCGTACAGGCCATGCATCTTCCACACTGGGAGAAGTGGTGAGCTTACAGGGGAAGCACGTACGGTGCTCAGGAGGGCTCATGAATTACCTTCCCAGTAAGCTGGGAAGAGGGTGGCCTGAGGCACTCTGGAAGGGTCCAGCCTTGACCAAAGCGGAAAAAATGCATAAATGTGTTGGGATGGGGCAGCGTGTGAGAACAGGGAACGAGGAAAGAAAGGAGAATCCTGGCAGGACCGTTACAAGGGCAGGGGAAGATGCTGAGCACCAGAACCATCTCTTGCTGATGGGAGGTAGAACTGGGAGACAATAAGAGGTAAGTGAAGCAGTGGGAATACCCAAGATAACACACAGTGAGGTCAGTGACTGCAGAGAACCTAAACAGGGAAGGTCTGTGGGGCACAGCAGAGCTGAGACTTGGTTCATCTGGCACTGGAGGGAGGGGAGAGCAGCAGGGAGACCCTTTATCCCCTACCTGACAAAAGTGAGGAGAGACAGGGATCCCAGAACGCCATAGAATGGGATGTATGTGATGAAGTAGCGCATGTAGTAGCTGATGGCCCAGGCTAGGTCCTAGGGGAAGAGAGAAGACATTAGGCATCACTTTGCCTATCTCATATAACGTGTCGTTGCTGGTGATGTTAGGGATACTGGGTAATTAATACAGCAAAGTGCGATCCCTGCCCACTGGCCTCCCTCCCTACTCAAGTGTGATTTCTTAGGAGCCAGCCGGACCCCATAAAGATTGAGGGAACGTTTCACTCACCGCCCAGAACCTGCGCCTGATCATGGTCGAGATGATTTGGATTTGGAAATACACAGGGATGAGCAGAGGCGGGAAGACTGCAAAGCAAAGGGAAATGTTTTGGCCATCAGAGGGGTGGAAAGGCGTGTGACATGAGAGTGAGCCAGTGATTTAGGACCATTTCTAGGTAAAGTCTGCCTAGCACTGGTGGGAGAGGCGAGGTGCTGGTGACGGGGGGTGGCTGCCTTTCTGTGAAGAAAGGAGGCTCTGCTTCACACCCATTCATCTTGACAAAGAGCATTGACTGGCAACACGCATTTCTTCCATGGAGCCTCTCACACAGAGGTTATTTCCCAGTCTCAGCTGTTTGCCTTGCTTTACACGACCGTGCTGGCAATGTTCAAGATGCTTGGATATCGTTGAGAATATACTGAACTGATTTGGGGACCTGCACAGGGGATGGTGGTCCTGAGGAAGGGAAGGATGAGTTGAGACTTAAGGAGTTGCTCTGCTAACACAGTAGGGG